CTGTCACTACCAGGAATCACAACAAACTCCTTGCCCTCCAGGAACATAGAGTCCATGGAGAAAAAGAAAGAGAAAAAGGAAATTTCAATATCTGATGAGTTTTCAATGGAGGTTCTTGTCTAGCCTGCGGGATTGAGGGGCTTCAGAAGGAATTAGTGCCTGTGCTGTGACTTGCAGGAAAATGGCAGTTAGTGAAGTAGGATCGTCATATACAGAGAATTCATCCACTGTGATTTTGTTTTCACAGTTAGGTCTTCTGTGACTGTGCCCAATGGACTGGAGGAGATGGAGGCAAACCAGAAGATTCTATTCCTCTCACTTGTGCTTTAACTTGAGCAACTTTGCTTTTATTTATATTCTTTGTTGGACTTTCAAATAAGCTTTTGTTTGACAAAAAAGATATTTGAATTCACACAGTAGAAAACCAAATCTTTTTATTGAAATTTGTTGTTCCAACTCTAACTTTTTAGTCATTTTTTATTTCTTATAAGAGTGGAATATAAATTAGCTAATTTATTGTATACTCAGTTGTATTTTTTGTGACTGCTTGAATGTGTGAGGAACAGAAACGTGCTCATATAATCTTGAGCAGCATGGGTTTGGTAAAGATATAGATGAAAGAAAGGAATCTCATGAACTAACTCATTTGGCCTAATGGAACTGGAATTTCAGTATATAGCTGTTCTAGAATCCCAGCAGCACTCTGATATTTGTGCTTTCTCATTGGCATTTGTTCCAATCCATTCTACCTTCCCCTTCATTCTTTTAAGTCAGCTTCTCTCTCCTTTCTCTCTCCCTTTCTCCCTCTCTCCCTCTCTCCCTCTCTCCCTCTCTCCCTCTCTTCCTCTCTTCCTCTCTCCCTCTCTCCCTCTCTCCCGTTTCCACTGCTTCCTTATTTATTATTGACCACTGTGTCTTCACCCTACTTCTCTCTGCCTTAGGTCTCCTAAATGAGAGGCTTCTAACTTACTTTATCCTCACAACAACCATATGAAGTAGGTGCTATTATTAACCTCATTTTACAAATTGGAAATCAAGGCACAGAGAGGCTAATTAACTTGTGCAAAGGTTACATAGTTTATAGTGTTTTCAAGATTTGAACCCAGTCAATCTTACCTCTCAGATTCTAAGCTCTCAATTGTTAAATTCTAGTGCCTCATGAAATTAAGTCATGAGAGAATCAAACTTTACTTAGAAATTATTCATTATGTCCCTGCCATACATACATGGTAGGGTTTTATATTTAGAATTATGCACCATTAATCATATTCCAGCCACTTACAGTGTTAAAGGCTTTAGTGACATAATTCTGAAGTGAAAGGATAGCCACAATGGGAGAGTAATCTTGTCACTTCACTTGGAGCTAGTGATGTATTTCATTTTTTTCCATAACTGAAGCAATAAGCAATTTAGAACACTGCCCCTGTCTATAGGTATGAAAATTTCATGCTGCTGGAGCAGGAAAATAACAGGTAATTTTGTGTAAGAAATAAGCTAAGTCTCATGATTTAAAAATTTATTACTGAAATTACTGTGTTTGATTGGAAGCAATTCAAAATTAAGTTGTTCATCATTCCAGGTTCTCTAGTTGTATCAGAAAAATTTTAGGGGCCTGTTAGTTCACAACTTCTTCATGTCCACTCATCCACCTGTCCAGATGTAGCAGATTTGATCTGGGTAGGCTTTATGAGGAATGGCACCTCCATTATTGACCAATAACCAAAAACTTGTATCTTTAATTGTAAACACGAACAGACTATTGAAATCCAGAAGCAGAAGCTGCCGGAGAGCTGAAGCTATCATGCACAAGTGCTAGCTGTGAGACAAGATAATTCCTACGTTGCCTTGGTTTTTGTTATTCCTGAAGCCTGAATCATAAATATTCATTCCAGAATATTTATGATACTACTCAGTCTTTACCTGCCCTCTACTTTTACTTGCACTTATCTGAAGTAGGATTGCGTCTAGAAATCTAATGAGTCCTATGGTATATATCATCAGTATTGTGATTGATTGCCTTTGGAATCCAGAGCTGTACTGCCAAATATGGTAGCCAATGCCCACATATTGCCATTTAAATTTACATAATTCAATATTAATTTAATCTAAAATTTAAGACTCATTTCTGGGGTCCTATGTTTCCTTAGGGAGCTTTCACCATATGTCTTGGTCTACTCAAAATTGGCACTGTCTCGTCTAGAAATGGAGGTACAGCTTAGCGACCCAGCAAGTTAGTTATTCTGTCTGTGCTTCAGTGTCCTCATAAATAAAATGTCGACAGTAGTCCCTTCTTCATAGGGTTATGAGAATAATGTGAGTTAATATATATAAAGTGTTTACAGAGCCCTTGTCACATGGTAGGGAGCTCAAAAACATCTTACCATTATGATAATGATGATGAAGGATGATACATCTGGTATCAAGCTGCCTCTGGCACAAGGAGGCTAATTAACCTAGAGAAATGATCCCCAAATTTATATTGTCAGGTATGACCTGGCTACAGGAGATTCTGGTTTATTAGGTCTAGATAGAGACAAGTAATCTGTATTTTCGAACCACCTCCACTCCCCAGAAACATTCCTGACCTCCTATGATTCAGCCTGGTTTTGAAGCCACTAGCCCAGAGGTTTCTCAGGGAACAAAGGTAAATCTTAGTCCAAGTAGTAATTCAGGGGTGACCCTTGAAGACATTCTAAATAAAAGAAGCCAGTCACAAAAGGCCATATACTATGATTCCATTTATATGAAATATACAGAATAGACAAAGAGAGACAAAAAGTAGATTAGTGGTTGCCTGGAGCTGGGAGGGTGAGGGAATGGTGAATGACTGCTAACGGATATGGGATTTCTTTTGGGGATGATGAAAATGTTCTAAACTTAGATCATGGTGATGGTTGCACATCTGTGAATATACTAAAAATCGTTAAATTCTACACCTTAAATTGTGAATTATATAGTATGTGGATTATATCTCTCAGTAAAGATGTTCTTAAAAATAGGCAGTAAGTGGAAGGGGATAAAAATAATTTTTAAAAATGGGAGGAGGTAGTTGGCGAAACCAGGAGAAAGGATACAAACTGGGAGCTTGGAAAGAAGCTTTTTGTTTTAATCTTTTTTCATTTATTCACACACACAAATACATAATAATCTAGTTATCTGACAGTCAGACTTCTGGCAGCTTCAACTTCCGGAGAACTGCCCTGTAAAGGAAATAGGTTTAAAAGAAAAATGAAAGTCTATTAAGTTCAGCGAAGACCCTCACTAAAGCCATGGACAGGAATCATTCAAAAGTAATGGTGCAGGAGAAAAGCCTCAAAAGAAATCCAGCTAAAATAGAGACCAAAAATTCATAATGAAAAGTTTGAAAGAAATTTTTGTGTGTGTGAAAAGTGAAGCTAAACTTTATATTTGACAAACTTTAGACTATAATTTCAACTGAACTAACTCAGAATAGACAGCCACCTGGTATTTTCACCTTGGTGCAGGCATAGAATACATTTATAGATAAAAATAAAGATATAGGTTATAGAAGAGTACGATAATAGGTCCTTTACTCAATTTTAGAGTTTCACAACAAAGAAGTCAGTTTTGTGAAAATAGTTAAGGGCTTAATCGTTTTTCTCTGTGGCCTTTCTTAGTCATTTAATATTTAAATCATTCTTTATATGAAGCACCTATCTTTAACTCTGTAGATTTTTCTCTTTGGTTGTTAACTGGTCTGATTTTTCAGATTGTTACTTGACATTGACTTTCCTTTTGACTGTAGCAATCTCCAGAATCACTTTTAAAGGCTTCTTGGGAACCTATTTGATTTGAGAGATTTGCAGTTTTATTTCCCAATTTATTTGCATTGTGCTTTTGGATTATCTGTGAGAGCCAGAGAGGAGCTGATATTAATTGTTAATTAGAGAGAGATGAATCAGGGAATTAATTTTATAGGGGGATAGTTCATTAATGGATATTTTTATATGATTACAGTCAACCTTATACCTAAATAATAAATATTCATGTAAAATGGAGTAGCTGTGTTTATTGCCGTGCTAATTTACTGGAGTGCTAACTCATATCTTGACTCTTATTTAGTATACAATTTAAAAAATAAGACCATCTTAACATATTAGAAGGAGTAAGGTAGCTAGTGTGGGATGGGGTTGGTGATTGGAGTCAGGTGGCACCGCCTGATACTGAGAGAAGGAAATTGATTTGCTGTATAGTAATGCATACTATAATTCTATTTTACAGTGGGGAAACTTATGTCTAGAGAGGCCAAGTAATTAGCTCAAAATAATACCACTGTCAACTCATTTGGGTCCATCTTATTCTAAAGTCCATATTCTTTTAAAATTACATTATAACCATCTTTCCGACAAAGTGTTTGAGCTATCTGGCAAATTTATCTGTCTTCTCACCAGCCAATAACATACGTGATTTAAAGTTTTATGTAATTTAGTCTAAAGACATCTTAGGATAAAATGATATAGATGTCAACTAACACTTATGTGATGCTTGTTATTATTAGTTTACAAAACACTTTTACGTCAGAAATTTCATATAATTCTTGTAACAACCCTGTGAAATGATCTTTGTTTTACTAGTGGACTTAGGCTTGGTTTCTGAAAGGGAATTGCATGGAATTATGTTCCCAAAACGTTAGGGCCCAGGTCTTTGCTTCCAGATCTTATGACTTTTCAGTAATATTACACTGCTTCTTGTAGAATAACAAAGCCCTACAAATATCTCTTTTGTAATAATAAAATAGTCTCAAAACATTACCCTCCATGATGTCTCCTGGGCTCGGTTACTCTATCATATTTAAATGATGTGTTTTAATGAGATTTTAAAATTGCATTTTTATTATAACTATATACCTTAACATTAATTTCGTGAATTTAGTAGAAATGACTGTCTTTTACTTCCTAATAATTAATGATTTATTTTTAAGTGGATTGGTTTAAAGTGGAAATCTGTATAATCTGATTTTTTAAATCTGATCTCTATAGAAGCTGAAATTCATCAATCACCATTCTTCAAAATGCAATGGAATGTACCAAAGACTGTATTCCGACTGGCACATAGGACATGCATGGAACCATATAAAACTGGTCTCTTTGGTCACTGTCAAATTATAAAGGGACCATTACTTCTATATAAAGCCGAATCCAGAGTAGTTTTGGTACAAGGCCCTCAAAAACAATGGCTGTGCTTATCTGCTGTCCAATGCACTGCAAAGGAAAGGAAGCCATTTGATCCTCATTTACCCCAACCTGGGGTCCTTCACCATAAACAGTGGGAGCAAGATATTTTGTCCAAGAGGGTTATGTCATCCAATGCCACATCTCCAGGAACTCCTTCAGAAAAAAAGGAAGAACCTGATCCTTTACAAGACAAATCGATTAGTCTTTATCAACGGTTCAAGAAAACATTTAGACAATATGGAAAAGTTTTGATTCCAGTGCATCTAATAACTTCTGGTGTTTGGTTTGGAACATTTTATTATGCAGCCATAAAGTAAGTTTTTGCTTGATTGAGCATCTTTCCTTGTTTTATCAGAATGTTAATCTTAATTGTACCAATGAAAGCCTTAAAAAGTTTTTTTAAATGCTTTATTGTCTTAAAAGAGGGTGACTTTTTCATAACTTTTTTACATTTTAAACATAGCTAACATTTGCTTATTGTATACATCAGACTCTAAATTTTTTTAACTGTATTATTTGTCACAGCAACTCTGTGAAGCAGGTAATACTAATAGTCCCATTTTATTGAGAAAACAGATTAAGCAAGAATAAGTCAAAATCATTTAGTTTTTCCCAGAATAACTTCAGAGTCTTATTTCAAAGCCCATGCTCTTAATCACTGTGTTCATCTGTCAACGTTTAGGAGAGCACAGAAATAAAATCAGATTTAGAAATTGGGAAGCACCGTAAGTTCTGTACTGACATATTTCTTAAAGTATTCACAAATAAAAAGATATATTATTTTTCCATATATATGATTTTAATGGGAAATTAAGATATTTTTACCAAAGCCTGGCTAATATCTGTTATAGACGCAAAACTGAAGAAATTGCAGAATTATGTTTTAATGTTACTCTTATCTGATAAGTGTCAAAGTAATATTTTTTATTCTGATCATAATTAATTTGTTGTACACTTAAAATTTTGTTAAAAGGGTAGATCTCAGGTGTTCTTACCACAATAAAATAAACTTTTAAAAAAGATAATTTGGTAGGCCTAGCCTCCAGATATTGTAAAACATAGAATTCTAAATGTATCTTTTTTGTTAAATACTGTTCCTTTCTTTTAAGGTAAGTTATATTATTCATACTGTTCTAGGAGCAGCAGGAGCACACATAGAAACAGCTTACCAATGATTTCTAGTCTGTTTCTACTTCTAGCAGAACCTAGCAGGTGCCAGCCTGTGCCTTTTCCTTTGAACCTGCTGTGTGGGCTTTTCTTGTAGTCGTCTGGGTGTGACCAAGTCCAGTGAACTTATTATCCTGAGGAAGATGAGACAGCACAATGTAGACCATGGACATTTTGGTAAACTCTCCTAATGGGTTTAGATTTATTTTATACTTTACAAAAGTCCACTGATTTTCAGCATTTGGTTACATTTTCTAGCTTGATACTAAAGTATTAATAAAATATGGTAGTTTTATATATGAAGCTCACTTCTTAGAAAAAGCTTATTATTTACTAAATTAAAAGATAAAGGAATAGAGATTGTACTTACTCTCAGGAAACACGGGATTAGAGATGTTTCTTTACAAAAGTTCTAAAAGATTTTAACCTTGTATAATTAATGCTGTTCTGTTTCTCTCCATATCTTTTCTCTCTCTTGTTTCTGTTATTAAATTATATTCTTCTTCATTATGTATCATTAGTTTCCTTAAGAATTGTTCCTTTCTTCACAGAAGGTCCTTGTATAGAATACTTTATGGAATAATCTCTTTGTTTACATATGACATTTGTGGACATGTACAATATTTATAGAAGTCTTCAAAACTGCCTTTAGTTTTTTAACAGCATGAAATCATATACACCATTTTGAATAAAAATTATTATAGACATTCATTTTTTCTACTTTTAATTAATGGCTTTTTACATTTAAAATTTTCTCTTTTGAGCTATTGAGGATCTTTCTGGTTTGGTATTGTGGAAGATGGCATGAATAATACTTGTTTCTTCTGCCTTCCTTAGGTTGCCCTCAATAAGAATTCAGCCTCCTGGCCTTAGAAGGAGAGATCTAAGTTTTTAATTAATTGAATATTGAGAGTCTCATCTGTACTATTAAAAAGAGTACTTTTGTTCCTTTTACTTTTCCTTGACTTCCTTCGTTAAAGAGTTCTATAACTAAAAAAGCAGACCCCAAATAACGTAGTGATACTAATTATCCTTAAGATTTTTTCAGTGCTATCTAACATCTGAGGCAGTTGTAGTGACATTCTGCCATCCCCTGTAGAATGCAGTTTTATCCTTCCTCTTTTCCTGCAGAATGCTTGTGTGTAACCATGATGGTAAGACTGTCCACTTTAAAATCTTATTCCTTCCCCATCACAACTTGTCTTTTGGCTGTTTGCCAGCATGCAAATTCAGTTGCCAGACCCTTTACTACTGCCCAGCTGTGACCACTGGTCTAGTTCTGTTATAGCATCTCAAAGCTAATTTGTGTTATGTATGATATGTTGCTTCCCAGAACAGTCCTTAATATTTTTTATATTAAATTCTTAATACTTCAGAAATTGAAATTTAATTTGTTCTAAGTGAGGACCTTATTACAAGTAATAATTAGAAAATAAGGATTTAGGATATGTTCGAATGGCAGTATATCTTTTATTATGAGATGATTTTATTGTAAAATTGGAGTTGATTAAATACAGTTATTGTTTTTTCCCAATGCAACTGACAAGAGGCTGGATTTATTTTATTTAGTTATAGCTGAAAAAGTTCTCTGTTACTTGCTTGTTACTTACTTACTATTAAAAGAAAGAAGGAAAAATAGTTTGTAACTTGAAGATTGGGCATTTCAAGTCACACTGCATTACTGACCAGTGTTTTAGTCACTCTGACAACTATCGTTATTGCCTTGCTAGTCACGATAAAGCAAAATGCCATTCTTTATTTAGTTAACTCAGTGATAAAGATCTCAGGTTTTTGAAACATTTTATTTTGGGGAGATCTAAATTGTGCATGCTAACCGATTTTATTTTAAGCTAAGCTTTGTTGTCACTTCTGTTTGGCAAAAGCTTGCAGATATCTTATGTCTTCTAATCAGAAGTACTCTGGTCAAATGTAGTTCTATGATAATGATTTTGTCCTTATGTTTAGTTGTCTCGTGTTTTGGGCCTAAAGGTACAGATCCACTCAGAGGCAAAATCCTGACTGATTTTTACTGTACTTTATCCAGACTGTGAATATACCTTTGTCCTTAGGGATTTGTTTCTGCATCAGTAGAAACATCCATAAAGCTCACAGTTTGTGAAGCAGAGATTTCTGTCAGGCTGTGAGAAGTTCAGAATAAAAAGTGACAAAAAGTGGATATTACTGTTTGAATCAGACCCTCATTAATGCTTTATATTTAACAATTCCAAAGAAAATGAAAGTTATTTTTAAAAAAACGATCAAATTAATGCTTTAGAAATAAGTGGAGCCAGATGCTTGCTGCTTTATTTTACAAAGGTAACTACTGTTTGATCTTTATAACCATTTTTTAAAAAAATCAACCAATTTTGTCTGGTCGAATGTCTTTTTTTCCTCCTTCACGATTGCTGTTAACTATGTAGATTTTATATATTGGGCTTAGTCTGAATTAGGAAATAATTAATGAAATATTTTTATATTTGTGTTGGTACTAGAAGATATAATTACCATGTTGTGGTAGGATGTTACTGGACATAGTAACTTATTAGATCCATAGAATAGTCTTTATAGTACTAAGTCTTGCTTTAATGGGATTCCGAGAAAGATTTTAAAAGGAACTGACAGAGATCGAAAAAACCAGATTGGATTTGTAATTGATGTTTTCATTAAATTCTTTAAAGTTTGGTTCAGTTATCTGGTTTCCTCTTGTAGATAATAGGTAATTTTCCTTTACGCTGATGAGCCATATCTACTGAGAGTAGTCCCTAGTTTCTTAGTATTATTATAGTGAAGTCACAGAGAGGGAAACTTTTCCTTAGTTGACCAAATTATTGTTTAATATTAAAAATAAATCAGGAGTTTGCAACTACCATAATAGTGATGGATCCAGGCAATTCCCTTTCTGAATTACAAAGAGAAAGAGTACGTTTACAGTGAGCAACCTGTGGACCTTACCTTAACTAAGAGTCATACTTACCAGTGATGGAACCAACTGACATCATATGGCCCCTGTTGGTGCAGAGAAATGAACACAGAATCAACTGTGCAGCTTTCTGGTTGAAAAATATTTAACCAGAATCTAATCATATGAGGAAACAATCAGACAAATCCAAATTTCGAGGGACAGTCTACCATGCAACAGACCTGAAAGCTTCAAACATCTCAGTATCAAGAAAGACATCCTGCCTCCCTCAACAGGAAGTTCAGGGGAGCATTTTTAGGGGAAAAGAGACGAGAGAGAGATGACTGGATAGCGTTACGGAATATACTGGGACAATTAAGGATACTTTAATATTAAATAACATATTACTTTATTAACTGTATACTATGGTATATGTTAAATTTCATGGGCGTGATAATTGTTTATGTGGGAGAAGCACAAAACAAGCCTTTTAGAGGTGAAAGATCACAGTATCTGTAAAACTACACAGCATGTACGTGTAAAGTGTGCACGTGCATGCATATGTCAGCTTAACAAAATGTTGATAGTAAGGGGAAACTAAAAATAAATTAGGGTTTAACAGCTCAGATTAGAGACTTGCTCTGCCTTCTGTCTTTTGTTGCAATTTATGGTAATTGCTGCTTCACCTGCATTTTAAGTCTGATAATAGCATAGAATTATCCTTTTAGAATAATTGAAGTTTTCATCAAACCCATAGAATTATTTATTCCTTGCATAATAATACAATAATGTTATATCACTTGTTTTTATAATAATAGTATAGTTGGACATATTATTAGAGGTAACAATCTTAGGTCTTGAAGTTTGAATTAGAGCATTCTAAGGAAGTGGTATTTAGTTGAGGAAGCTATGATCAGGTAAATGATTCCGATCTTTTTCTCAGGTTATAACTATTAATTTTGCTCTGATAAACACATCTGTTTTTCTGAATATGCTAATTACAGATGTCTGTATGCAGAAGCAGAAGTTGCACAGTAAGATACAACACGACACTGATGTTTGTATACATATTGTATTTTTAGAATGAAATTAAAGTGCTTGATAATGCAGAATTGACTTTTAAACAAAATTTGGTTTTAGTGTCTTGAAAAAATTTATCCCTAAAAGTTTGTGTGTGTGTGTATGTGTGTGTGTGTGTGTGTGTGTGTATATAGATGTATAAATTACTTTCTGTTTCTTTCTTAGAGGAGTGAATGTCGTTCCTTTTCTAGAACTTATTGGGTTACCTGACAGCGTAGTAAACATTCTGAAAAATTCCCAAAGTGGAAATGCACTAACAGCATATGCCTTGTTTAAGGTAGGTACTATTATAAATGGATTGCTCCTCACACTTAACTGATGATTTGCTCAGTTCCCTGGAAAACTCCGCGTTAACCCCAATAGTTCTCTTTTGTAACTTAAACTATTGTACTTCATCTCTTATATGTCTATTGATTAAAGTTAAAATTTTTAAGTATAAAGATGATGTTTTAGAAAGAAGTGCTTTGAAAATAGGTAGATCATTCATAACCTGCTGTGATCACATGTGAAACTTTTGAATTTCCAGGGTAGAAGTTGTCTCTAACATTTTTCCTATTAATAGTGTATTAATTTTCCTTATTCAGAGATCCACATGCCACCTGACTTGTTAGTGAAATTTAGCGTTTATTTTGTTTATAATAGTTCATGTTCTTAATAAGTAAAATAGCAAAGTTTAATTTAATTCAAATTGTTTTATGTGATAAACCTTACACTTGTTAGATGTTATGTATGTTTCATTTTAAAAGTTCATAGTCATTATAACTGTTTTCTGGCTTTAGACAGTACATCTTTCTGAATAGTTTCTACACCTATTGGTCTTTATTTTGGAAGAGAAGACTCATTGTAAATTGTGGAATTTAGCCATATTAATCTCATTTTTCTCAACTGACATAATTATGAGGTCCTTTGTGGCGTCATCCTAAGAAAGAAAACAAGCAGAAAGCATTTAGAAACTAGATGTTATTTTACTTCTATTGTATGAAAATACTTAGAATTATGGTTTTATAATAGTACTCAAAAGTTAAGTTTTATTCTGATAGCCTCATTAGAATCCTCTGAAATCTTGGGAGATTTCCTGTTTTATTATATTTTAACTAGAGGGCTAAAGCTTAATTACTGAGTTTTTCAACATTAGAACTTATTAAATTTATAAATTATCAAGTTTCTAGTTATAACGGGTATAATTTACCTTTAATCAAACTATTATGATGATGGTTTAGACCATTTCTCTAATTATAATTGCTTCTTATCTCATGTTCCCATAGCATCTGTGTAGCTCTTATGTAGTTCATGTCACAGTCTCTGTGTTACTTTTATTTTTTAATATTTGTTTTCTTTATTTGATTATGAGTGCCCAGAAATTCAAAATCATGTCTTCTTTCTCTTTGTATTTTCAGAATGCCTGGTATTGTGCTTTGTAGGCAAATCAATGCTCAGTGCATGTTTGTTGGGTTGGAATTGAAATGTGAAGCTATACACATAGGTAGATTGTCATGTCAACAGTGTTTCTTCTAGCTCACCATTCCTCTGTGAGGTGGGAAATATGGAGGGGGATTCTCTTGGATATTTACTGTAACACACAGTTTTTCAAGTAGAGAAACAAACATTGAGATCTATTGCTTCAATAAGGCAAAGCCCCAAAGAGAGGTGTGGCAAGGTGGAAAAAAACTTAGGAGTATGACCTTGTGGCATTAGCTAGGGTAACTCTGTCCTTGAAATATACCATTGTTTGAGCTGACAAAAATTTGCTGAGCCCCTGCTAAGTGCCAAGTGCCAATTCCAAGTACTGGGAATACTGTAATTAAATAAAATGGTGCAAAATACCTGCCCTTGTGGTAGTGGGCAGTTGGAGAGACAAAGAAGGGAAAGTTAAAAAAAATACAGTGTATTTAGATGACAGTAAGTGCTAAGAAGAAAGAATAAATCAGTGATGGAGGGGTGTTTGTGTTGTCATTTGGTATTGGTTTGTTTTTCAGAGGGAGAGTTGCAAGAAGGTGAGAAAGTTAATCAGGCAGCTGTGTGAGAGAAGAACATTCCATGCAGGGGAAACCCAAAGGTCCTGAGGCTGCAGGATCCCTGGAGTGTATGGGAATGGCAAGGAATCAATGTGCCTGGAGTGAGTGAGCAAGGGCCACAGGCAACAGAGTGGCCAGATCAGGGCAGCCTGACTCTGAGGAGATGGAAAGTCACTGGGGAGTTTTGAATATATGATTTGTTTTAACAAAATCACTTTGGCTGCTATATTGAAAATAGTCTCACACGACAAGGGTAGAAGCCCAGGAGGTCATTGCAGCAGTTTGGGTGCAAGCTGATAGCGGCTAAGACAAGGTGGTAGCAGGAGAGGCAGTAAGAAGTAGGTGGATTGTGGATATATTTTGAAAGTATCTTACAGGTTTGGGGCCTGAGCAACTGAAGAATAGAGTTGTCATTTCCTGAGGTGCACATTGATTTGAGAGGAGCAAGTTTGGGGTGGGACCATTGAACATCAAGAGGTTAATTAGTTTTGAACACATGACATTTTGAGATTCTATTAGACATGCAGGCAGACATGAGTAGGTGGTTATATATACTGGAATCAAGGGAAAAGGCTGAGACTGGAAGTCTAAATTTAAGAATCACCAATATAGATGGCATTACAGACATGAAACTGGACAGGACTGCTGAGGGAGGGAGGGAGGTAGAGTCCAGGCACTGAATGCTGTCTCACCATGTTCAGAGGTAGGTGACATGAGGAGGAACGGCAAGGATCACAGGAATGGGCAGCCTCTGAGATGGAAGGAAACCAGGGAAGTGGGGGCCCTGGCAGCCAAACGGAAGAAGTACACCGAGGAGTAGATTGGAAAAACTATTTTAGGTGGTTCTTATTGCTCAGGGGCCTCTATTCTGTGATGAGAGCAGTTTTTGTGGAAAGGAGAGGGATGAAAGCTTGGTTAGAGTAAGTTCAAGAGAAAATGAAGAGGGAAATTAGGGATAGAGAGCCATACAGCTCTTTCAGAGAGTTTTGGTATCTGGCACACCTGTTACAACTATGAATTTTTATGCAAAAGCCTCAGAACGTGATGCAGACTCTCTGCTTTGTGATTCTCTTTGACCATATTGTCTACTATTTAGTTTCAGTTCTTAAATCAAGTCAGAATTAAACCTGTTTTGTCTGCAGCACATGTGCCATTTTACCACATGTTGGCCTCGCAGAGGTTCTGGTTGGGATTCCAGACCCAAGGCAGATTATTATAATGAGGAAAGAGCATAAGGCCTGGAAAAGTCAAAAGAAAGAGATGGGAGGTGAAACATTCAGATTCAGTAGAGAAGAAACATTTGGCTCATGCTTGCCTCTCACCATCTGAAGTAGTTTGGTTCTAGTGTTCTTGATAGTTCTGTGGGTTGTCAGGGTTTTAAAGAATAGAGACGACCTGTGCACCTTTGTTGCTGGTAGTGGTCCCAAGCCCTCTTTGATTTCCCAGTGGATCCACCCTGCCTGGTTCACTAGCATGCAGTCACGGACTTCAGTGCTGCCACTGCGAACGTTCTGTAATCCTGGATCAGTGTCCTATTTGTAAAACGAGTGTACAGAAGATGCACACACCCCTTGTTAGGAGGGAGAACCATAGAGGATGTAACTACATTAGCCTTGTGAAGCAGTAAAGTAATTTCATATTGTTTTTGCTTAAGACAGTAGTCATAATCAGGTATCGATCTGCCTGTTTGCTTTGTCCTTCAGATTGCAACACCTGCCCGGTACACCGTGACTCTGGGGGGAACCTCCTTCACTGTGAAGTATTTACGTAGTCGTGGCTACATGTCAACACCACCTCCGGTTAAGGAGTATCTGCAGGACAGGATGGAAGAGACAAAAGAGCTTCTCACAGAGAAAATGGAAGAAACGAAGGATAGACTCACTGAAAAATTACAAGAAACCAAAGAAAAAGTTTCTTTTAAGAAGAAAGTAGAATAGGGTGCCTTATATAACAGGTTGTAGACAGTTCCTACATTTTAACCCTTTGGAGAATGTGGACAAAGATGATATTTTTGGTTAGTTGCCTAAATATACTAATTCTCTGAGGGTTAAAGAACTAAGATCCCTTTTTAACATTAAATCAGTAGAAAAATCAGTGCTTTTTGAAAAGAAAAAAACTCAATGTAAGAATTTCACATCAATAGCAACATTAAGCAGTAGTTAATGCCTTGTAAGTCAGAGCTTTTTCAAGGTCTTCAGAATCATATTTGCTTTATGTTTTGTTGCAGCTGTAATTTAGGCAGGTGAGGCAGTTGACTCCTTGAATAACTGATGCGGCTTAGACAGAATGCTAACATTGGGTCTTCATCTTTATGTTATTCATTGAGGTTTTAACTATATTCAGTTTTCAATGCGGAGACAAACTATTATCATCAAAACTGCCTGTGAATAAGAGGATATTTAATGTTTTGATAAAAAGTATGTAAGTTACATACCAGTTAAAATACAGACTTTATTTGAAGAAAGTTGAATAAAAATTGGGTCATCTGTATGTAAATAACATGGTTATATGTAAATTAAAAAGTTGACCATTTAAAAATGATTTTTACCTGAAGTTTGTCATAATCAGAAATTTTAAAGCAAATATATATGGCCATAGTACTTTTTCACCTGGAACACAAAACTGTGACTTGTGTCCTCTTCAACTAACTTTTCAGAGGAAAAGTCAAAATATACCTTAAGTTTAATGTTGAAGCCACATTATCGTAAGCAGTGACTCAAGCTTGTGCTTGTCAAGCAGAAACAGATTTGGAAGGATGGAAAATGGCGTCAGCTTGTCATGGAGTTAACTCAGTCTCCCTGCTGTGTGGCAGGCCTTTGTCTCCACAAGTCAGCGCTCTTTCCCAATGTCTTTGTTCCAGAGTTAATATTGATCTCATTATGGAGTAAATTTTCAAATTCTAACTGCTGCTTTCCCCCTTATATTGAAATATCCTTGCTTGAGCATTTTACTTGAATTTTTTTTATATTATCTGCTTGGAATGAAATTCAGCCATTGTGAGATATGAAAGTTGCAGATGTGATTGAGCATGTGTTTGAGGATGTCTCTGTCTGTTTTCCTTTTGCTTTAATTGCTTTTACTTCAATTCTAACTCTTGAATTTATATTTAGAAGAGGGAATGGCCTCTTTCTAGATTGTCTAGATTATCAGGGACTGCAAGAACCAAT